TTTCGTTTGCCTGTTTGTTTGTTTATATAACGCGTCCCTTTCGAAAAAAAAAAATCACTCATATTGAAACGCCACCATTTGCTGGAGCAGGGGTGCAAATTTGGACCTATTCGAAGCACTGAAGGCCATTGAGCACTCAAGGCCATTGAGCAGTGAGAGATCTTTTTGGTGCCAGCATATACTGCAACACTGGACTTCGGTTTATGCGGTCTCATCCTAGCATATACTGCAACACTGGACTTCGGTTTATGCGGTCTCATCCTAAAGACCGGTCTCCATGTCCTGCAGTTGGATTTGAACCCGCGACGTAAGGCCACGCGGGTGACTTTAGAATAGGTTACCTAGTATATTTAATTTGCTGCGCCTGCAATCACATCAAAGTTCCGACTCCCATAATGCTTATTTACTCCGATTTCTGGCGTTGCGCGGTAGTGGATAGAGAGTTTTAGAGTGTTTGCTTTAGAGTCGAGGGGTAAGAAGCTGATCCTTACCTCGAAGGTTCGAATCCGGCAGAGGGACGTTGAGACTGGTCCTTTGGATGAGACCGTATTAACCGAGGTCCTTTGTAGGAGTAGGTGCTGGGACGGAAAAGATCCCTAACTGCTCAATGGCCTTGCGTAAATATATACATTTTATGGTTAAAGAAAACATGGAGCAAGGATCCGATAAACCTGAAAAACACTTTTATGAAAAAAACGTTGGTATCTCTCCGAAAAATACTTCAAGTCCATTTAGTCAATGTTCATATCACAAACATGATTTAAATGTCATTATTCATCCAGAGTTGTAAAGCGTGTTAACGTTAGTCTAAAAAGATATTAATACTCAGGATTTTTATTGCCAGGGTTTGAACCCCAGGGATACGATTTTATCTTTTTTAATGCTGGTTATAGAATAGGGGTTTTTTTTTAAATCAAAAACGTTTTGTTTGTCATAATTTCATAAATTTCAATTATGAGAACTTTACTCTTAATATTTAAATCACAAATTTGATATGATTTTTAAGTATCTAATGCCATAGCATTCTGCACGCCTTGTTCGCCCATCTCCTTTATATAGAAAACCTTTTCCTTCAATGTCCTTTAATTCATCTTTAGTGTTTAAAGTATTTAAATTAAAGGTTCATGTGTTTTACTCATTCGTAAAAATTAAGATTACTCTTATTGATATATTTTAATACAAAATTATATAATGTATCAATTCAAAGCAAAATTTGCGCTCTTATGTGTGTTAATTGCAACCAAAATCTTTAAATTTTTCTCCAAAAAAAAAAAATTAAAAAAAATCCAGATAAAAAAGGGAAGACAATCGAATAGAGAATTGGCAAATTGTAAATCGCAAAATGAGTATATTTCGATGATTATCTGAAAACATTCAGTAACAAAAGTACTAAGATGTACTAAAAGTAATAAAATAAATGCTAAGCCGATCATACATCTGTAACCCAGGTGTTCCATTGGCATGAACGTTTGTCGGACGGACCGCTGTTCATACATGAGTAAGGATAAATAATATATCTAAATTCTCTCTCTTAAAATAAAATACCGGATATAAAGCAAGAATGATATCTCAATGTAATGTTTGTTTCAGAAAAGTCACGTGACTTGTTTTTCACTATACAAACGGGGACCCGTGTGTAACCCCCAAATACAATCTTCGGTAATTGTGAAAAGTTCACACTCACACACATGTTTTAATCCTATCTAACCGGGGACATTTTTTCAATATGTTGAAAAACGGATCTTTTAGGCTTTTTGGGGTAATTAGACATCCCTGACTTCGAATTTGGCGCTATTTTTAATCAAAGACAACCGGGGACGTCCCCGGTTGGGAGGTTGTCCCCGGTTGGAAGGTGTGTAAACAAACGATTGTCCCCGTTTGACACCTTTCACGCACGCACACACACACACTCACACCACACACACACACACACATTCGTTGTTGTCCTTTTTAAAAATTTAGGCACAGTTTTATCGGTGCATGTTCTCGGTTTGTGTTATCATTTTCGTCCTCATCAGATGATGGCAGAGTTTATATTATTTGGGAAAACTTGTCAACCATAATTAAAGTTCTTCCTTTGTCTTCCCGCCCCCCCCCCCCCCGTCCCTCCCCAAAATGAAATAAAATAAAATAAAAGATATTTTTTTCGTAATCAATATCATAGTGTAATAGCAAATGAATTCTTCATCATTGACATTGAACTCCACTTAAGAAAGGATATTATTTCAAGATATTTAATCCATCCCATGCCATAGTAAAAAGTACATGAAGACGAAATCTGAAACTCTAGTTTTATTTTTAGGTTCTTATCTTATAAAATATCCCAAAAACAGTAAAAATAAAAAAGTAATTTACTAATTCCATTTAATGATTTCTTTGAATTGGTCATTTCTACAGTCTGTTTACCAATGTCATTACTTTTTTTTCCATTATAAGTCTAGATACATGGATGTTTCCTATCTGACTAAAAGTGGTTTGGATATGATTAAACATTAATGTGTTTTAATGATATTTTGTTCAAAAAATTACTTTTCATCGTAAAATTAAAAGGAAGCGCTCAAAAGGGACAAACTATAGACATGATTAGCGAATTTACACCTCATCGAATCTCTCTCTCTCTCTCTCTCTCTCTCTCTCTCTCTCTCTCTCTCTCTCTCTCTCTCTCTCTCCAAAATGCCTTGGTATAAATTTAGTGTTTAACAACAACACAGTAGTCACAAAAATATAAGGAAAGTTGCCATTGACTGCAATAGAGGAACTGTGACCCATAGATTTCATTAAGAACGCAATTGTTACTATTTATAGTTTTCACTTTCAATGTGTCGCCCGCGTGGCGTAGTGGTAAGAGCGTCTGCTCTAGTCGTGTAGTAAGGAGGTGAATCCTTACGTCGCGGAATCGAATCCCACTGTGAGACGTGGAGACCGGTCCTTCGGATGAGACCGTCATGAGGTCGGCAGGGATACTCACTCCTCCATGGCATCTGATCCCACCTCTAAATTCTGAGGTCCGTTTTTGCTCTGCTCCAAATCTGTCTCGTTTCATTAGACTTTCGAGATTGAATACTGTTCCTTATCTTCATATTTCACCGTATAAACCGAAGTTCCGTGTCGCAGTAAGTGCTGGCATGAAAAAGATCCCTTACTGCTCAATGGAACTGAGTGCCAAGCATAGGAAAATATTTGCAGCTTACAACCAGCAAGTGGTGGCGTATCCATATGAGTGAAAAATTCTCGAGAGGGAAGTTAATTAAAGAAAAAAAACACTTTCATAGTTATAAAGAAAATGTAATAATTGTCTGCTTTAAGCAGTTCAATTCACCTCCCAGCTTGTCCAGCATCCATGACTTTGGTGCTGTCAAGTGCTTTCAAAACCTTCCTAGATAACCCTGAGGAAAAATGGGAATCAATTGTAAGCAGTCATGAAATTTCTGAACTATTGTAAAAATAAAAGTTGCTTCTGGGGATCTTAAGAACACCAGTTCAGACAGTCATTTTAAATGTTCCATAAATTATCAGCTTAAACGTTTTACAATTGTGACTGTTTAAATACCAGCTTGCAATAAAAAAAAAAAGCTATGCTACAATGTACATGATGTATTGACCATACGGGTTCAGGATATGAAGGTGAAAGAAAATTGTTGGCGTATCACATTACATATTATTTGAATGTAGGTTTGGAATTAAAAACAAAATTTATTCTAAAAAGCATTTTGATTATATTGGGCAAAGGTGAAACGTTATAATCTCAATGCATAAAACTAGAACCTTAAAATTTCTCCTTTGATTTGCATGGACAGGGGTTTTCCATGATAACAATTCCTAAATGAAGAGCATCCGGATTTTTTTGTTACATGGTTACTCACCAAAAGACTTACGTCATTTTCAAACTATGATGAAAAAGAGGTAATATGTCCAATTTGTTCATTTACAATTTGATTATGGAAGTATCAAGGAATATGTACCTCAGTAAATTTTATCTCTTTCTTCTTCTTGTCTTTGTTGCAAAGGATGCCTTTGGCTATGGTAAGTTATTTTTTTAATAATTCTTGTATTCATTGGTGTTTACAACAATCAAGTGATTTGTCATCTTTATCATAAAAAAATTATATTACAGTTCTAAAGAAGGGTCCGTGCCTGTTTATTTCGAATGAAGATTTAAAAGAACAAGAATTCAATAACGTCACTCAAATTTGTTGTACAAGATCAGGGGTGCATGATAAAGACAAAGGATTCAACATTGAATGCTGTGGAGGCAAGAATTTTGATACATCATCTCCTCTATCTATAAGATTTTTTAGAAACATAAACCGTTGTCTCAAACATATCAATTGCATATATTGATACATTAATATGCTCTGATTTTCCCACTCTTTGATTGGCATTGCTTTGCATCTCAAAAATGTTTTTTAAACTTATCATTTAATTATGATGGAATTTAACGCTGTCAATATTAGCACTGGATTCTTGATCTGAAAGCACTTTCTCTACATGGAAGTTGCAGAGTTAAGTGTAAACAAAAAAAAAGAAGTCTGAAAATACAGTATATGAAACCACACCTTCTTCATGTATTTAATGATAGGTTAAGTACTAATAATATTAAAATGTCCTTGATTTCCAAAAATGCATTGACCAATTCCATTTCGTTACATGCCGTCATAAATAAAATCAAAATTAAATCTATAGAGTCATAAATCACTGTACTATCAAAACAAAAGAAAGATCATTTTCCTTTTTTTCTGACCTATATTGGATTTATCATGATCATAATTTTATTTTCACGTTAAGATAAAAACAGGTTAACTTTAATGGGTTTTTTAAATTGCTAAATTACATTATCTCAAAATTATTGTTCATTCGACAATTTCAAGGCAAAAGAAACATTCACACAAGTCGATCGATTTTAGAAAAACAGGTTATATCATTAAATGTTCGAATGTGTTATGCTAGATGTTACTGTTTATCTATTTCTTAATGTTTATCAAGCAGAAACGACCTTCAAGCCAGACACAGAAATTTGCTGCGGTGAACAAGTTTATGATAGAGCTGATGATAAACGAATTTGCTGTGGAAATGATTCTGAATCGAAACATGGTATGTTATACATTGTACCTTAAGTTCTTTAAGATATATGCGCATTAGCGTTTCAGAATTATTATAAGTATAAAATTGCACGATAAGGTACTGAAATTTGTATTTTTATTTCTTTTCTCATGTATACAAAAGAAAAAAAAATCAAAACCAAAAAACAAAAACATTTTTTTTTCTAAAATACTGCAAAAGATTAATGACTTATTTATTATCTAGCCTTATTTTAAAATAAAAAAAACTGCAAGTTCCTGTCAAAATTTCACAGCAATGTAATTGTGATAATAACGTAGCGATTGGGCGTAACGCATATAATAAATTTCCTTTGTACCAAAACGTTGCGCCAACATTTTTAAAGAATATTAGTGTTTACATTTATTTTTACATACCATGAATCATATATTAGCAATTCTCTATGTTTATATTAGGTCTTACACGTTGAATCGTATGTTGCCATGCATCTTGCTTACATCCCATCTGCTATCTTTATTGGTGCATTTTATTAACATTTGTTTCCTATTTCACTTGAATTGTTATTCATGCTTCAAAGAGGTTTGATTACTTACTGATAATTGTTATTGTGATTTCTCTATTCATTTTAGTACATAATGCAAGAGTTTGACTTCTATTTTATTTTAATTTTCTGTCTAGATGGAATCGTTACCTTAAAAAAAAAAGAGAAAAAATATATAATTATTTGATTATTACTGATACATGGGGGCACATTCCATTTTCTATTTGAAGAAAAGCTTTGTAGTTTAAATTCAATTAAAAAAAGATTTTTACGAAATCATCCACTGGCTGTGAGTGGGATAGTTCTTTTATCAAGCATGCGACAGGAACTTGTCTGAGGGGAAAGTTCATGTCAAGGGTTTGACGAAAGGTCTATCAAACTCACACTCAGTTGATAAATGTTTTTTTATTATTATTGTTTTCATTATTATTTTACTGTGTAAATTTATAATTTCTGAGGGATGGATAGCACATTTCATACCCCTGGGTAAAGCTTTTATGTTGGAGTGTTGGAAATGTTTCCAACCAATCATATTGCAGGAAATCAAACTTTGTGGCAAACACTGAATGAAAATTTCCGATGGAAAGATACAGTGAATCACAAAATATACCCCGGGGTACCAGGGTATAGGTTTGTTATACCTGATTTTTTTTCAGACTATAAAATATGTTTTACCTTCTAATTTTTATATTGAAAATACATGTATTCTAATTTTCTAACAGAAGTAAAGTAAACGATTTTTTCAGCCGATACCTTTTTATTTGCAATATTTGTCATTAACATTTTATATTTTGACTATTTAATTAGTCTGTTTCACTTGTTTTAGCATTTTTGTCTATTGACTGGCAATCTATAAATTTATAGATTGATGTATGTAATCTCGATTTCAGAAGCATTGTGACTTTATCAGGAATTCATCTAGTAGTGTTTCCAACAGCGTACATGAGAGTGCTTGTAAAATATAAAATATTGCAATTTTTGATATGTTTTTCCAGGTGTTATTCATTCCGTATCAAATATGCGAAAACCTAAATGTTGTGGAAATCAAGTTTACTCTTCACTGGAGAAAAATTGTTACGATGGTGTGCTTCAAGATAATGAAATAAAACGGTAAGCAATTAGTCACATTGTTTTAACATACATGTATTTCGATATATTTTCAGGAAGTACGCTCGTAAATATTTGGATTCCAAGGTAACTGGATGAACATCCTTCAAGATGCGTGTTTAATATTAATATTCTTTATTTTCATAAGATATTGTACATGTACAACCTAACATGATATTACAAATAAACAGAAAGTCGACGATGTTTTAGAGAAGTTTTTGGGAACTATTTTTTCTTGCAAAAAAATTTCAAACAAGAAGTGCAAAGAAACTTTTTTAAGTTAATCTTATAGTCCTTTTAAACTTCTCCTTAATAGAGCACACTGGTCGGCAGGGGATGCGCACTCCTCCATGGCACTGATCCCATCTCCGTGTTTTTTTTTTTTTTTTTTTTTTTTGAGGTCCGTGTTTGCTTACTCGCCCTCAGACATTATTCCTAATACAATAATGATTTGTTGTTTTCTCCTTTATTTCTTTGAAACTAGTTTTAATAATGAGAGAGAGAGACTTAACATAGTATTTTTTATGAATTATATTGTATTTAATATCTGAAAAGGTCACCGTGATATCTTTTTCTCTACGAAATGAGACGGGACATGTACAGAGAAAGAGTTGTTAATTGACTAAAAATAACATTTTGTGTTTTGATAAAAATTAATATTTAAATCGTAACAGAAAGTCATTTATCATGCTATTGAATTAAAGTAGAAAAAAACTTTATAGAAAACTTTTATCTAGATCTATTGAATCTTAGGTCCTTAAGTCCTTTTATCTATTGTGTCACGAACCCCAATAATTCAATGTCCAAAAATGGCAAACATGATGTAGGGCAGAATTATTATACCCTGTTGTATATAAATATGCAAAATCTTGAATGTTTCTCTCTTCTTTTACTTAATTTACAGAATGTAAAAATGTAATCTTTCCAGATTATAGCTTTATCTGTTCTTTTACATGTTTTACACTGTGTTGCAATTACCATGTATATCTGTGTTTTTCAAAATGGCATAGTGTGTTCCTTGATTTTCTTTTTGATTCCCAACTGCTTTATTTACATATTGCTTTTCAAATCTGTATGTTATTTATGATATTCTATCACAAGGATTGTTACTTTTATGGCACATGCTTCAAAAACTACCAATATGATTGGCTCGGCTCAGAGATAAGAAAATGAATTAATGACGATGAATTTATGTTGTGAATAAATGATTACATTATCTGACTGCGTCCTTTTCTATATATGTTTATATTTCGCACTTATGTTCTTCTAGCCAGCGAAAGAAATAAAACTATCAGCTTTTTAATTTTTGTTGAGGGTTACTAAACAATATGTTGGAATTTCTTCGGGGACCAGTTGCGCCCCGTTATCAGCAGACCTATTTCTGTATTCATATGAAGCAGAATTTATTCAAAATCTTATACATGAGAGTAGGAAAACTCTTGATGTGGCCTTCAACTCGACAGTTAGATGTATAAACGACGTACTATCAATTAACAATAGTTACATGTATTTCTATTCATATGTCGACACGATATATTCCAGTGAGATTAAAAGATACCATTGAGTCTGACACATATGTTTCATATTTGGATATTTTACTAGGAAAAGGCGTTAATATTAACAAAACAATAAAGCTTTATGATAAACGTGAGATTTTAACTTTTCAATGGTTAACTTCCCTTGCTTATGCAGCAATATACCTTCATCATCTGCATATGGGGTTTATATCTCTCAGTTGATTCGATACGAAAGAGCATGCTCTACGTACGAACAATATCTAAAACGAGGAAACAAACACGTCGATGAAACAAGAATATCAGCAGTCTCGTTTAAAGTCATCATTTCGTAGGTTCTATGGTCGATACAATGACCTTGTCAGCAAATACAAGCTATCATTAAGTCAAATGCTGACTGACGTTTTTCATACTAATTGTTAGACCATTATCTACACTGTCGACGGATTTTTCCGTTATTTCCCGATCATGACAAGGAGCACGTACACGGTGGGTATGATCGGTCGGCAGGGGATGTCCACTCCTTCATGGCATCTGATCCCAACTTTGATGTTTTTGAGGTCCATGTTTGCTCTGCTCCTGATTTGTATTGTTTGAATGGACTTTTGAGCTTGAATACTGTTATTTCAAAACAATAAATATTGCAAACAGTTTGTCTGATACAAAAATTTAAAAAAAAATTAAAAAGTAAACTTTTAAAAGTTAATACATATACGTTCAATAATTGGTCAATGAAGATTAAACTGCATAATGAACCTTGATCGCCACAAAGAACACTAATTACATAATGCAGAAGTCATCGATCACCTTGAGTCTTAATATTAAAGTCATGGATCAATAGCCTATAAAAAGTCATCAGTAGAAGATGTTTAAACATGGATATACTCAGCATTTCAGGTTAACTCCATCAATCTCAGCTCAATTTTATTTATTCATTTCATTACTGTAAGGGAGAACTTTGTCATTCATTACTACTCACACCGACAGATACGCATAAGTATAAAAATGAAGCGTAAAATGTGTTAGAAAATGGAAATGTCTTGTTTTAACATTTATTATAGGCATAATTTTTCTCTTATGTTTTTCCTACTGAAAAGTTTTTTGTGTGAGAGATGTTTTTTGCGTGTAAGTCCATTCTATTTTTTTTGCTTAAAGATATATCGATGTAATTATTCTGAGATATGATATTTGTGATAAGAGATATTTTGTCACGGACTTTAGGATATTATTTAATTTGCAAACTAGAATCTTTTTTTTCAAATAAAAAGATATTTTACTTGTTTAGATAGTTCATTTGATCACAATTCCCGACTTTTCAGGATTTCTTATTAAAAATTTGGAAAAACAGTTTTAGTATCTTACATTATGACAAAGAAGGTGGAAAGCGGTATACCGATGACATTTCAAGGTTCACACAAAACATAATCCTCTAGAATATGAGCCCGATGATAAATTTGTAAATCCCTTGACTAAATCAATCTAATATAACGAGAGCTTTCAGAAATAAAGTAATTATGGACATTGTTATGCAAATACAGAACCAATCTTGAGCTTCTGGTCTAGGGTACATGTATATCTATTTTTTTTTTAGTAAGAAGTTTGGGTCTGAACCTTTGCAAATACAAAGCTTGGAATAAGAATTTTAACGTATGCCATTATATCATTATGCATGACGGAGAATACTCTGCCTATATTCTCTCATTATTTACTTCCGTCTCTTGCAATAGATAAGTTAGCTACGATTAAAATATAAATGATAACAAGGATCAAAGCAAAGTTGAAAATCATTTTCATTCGATTTTTAAAGCACCACTGTACAGCTAAACACATATGGTATACCTGTATAAAAAAAATCAGCAGTGTTTGAATTCTCTTCTTAAGTCGTTGCACTCTTATTTCGGCATCGACATATTTTCTTAGTCTAGGCTTGGTCTGAAAAATGACTTGCATTTCAAATTAAAACGTAAACAAGAAACTTGAGCAAAACTGAACACACCTTTGCTATGTCATGCAATTAACAAAACTTGAAGAAGACAATAATGTACTTTTACATTTGTATTCCCGTTTTCAAATACTTCATATATATACATCGTATAAAATTTGATTTATTTTACCGTCTGATTCCTATCGTAAAATGAAAATTATTTTCAACTTTTTGATTTATTGTCATCTCTCGAGAGAGATGACACATTAAGTTTGTTACCCGGATATGAAGTCCCAGTGTAAGCTGCCATTGATAAGCTGGTGGTCTGGCAAATGACACGATTTCTAAATATAGAGATGTATACACAAAACTGCTCAATGACAAAGAATGGGCGATAGGCGCTCCCCATGTAAGTTTGAAGACGACGAAATTATAGTCTACATAGGTCTACCCCTCTTTACTATAAAATCAACGTTGATTTCGTCATCTACAAACTTACATGGGGAGCGCCTATGGTCAAACAGACCATCTTAGAAAAGACAAGTTTGGCTTTCCAGAAAGCCTGAAATGTCATCTCTTTGGCTTCATTAATAGACGGTGGAATGTAACATTTTTTCCTCAGCGATTACAAGCAGAACTTTTTTCCAAAAAAAAGAGGGGTAGTCTGGAAAAAAAAATACAACTTACCTGAATAATCTTACACTAGGAAAAAAAAGGGGGTGTTCAAACTCGAAATTCTTATTTCGTGGATGGGTAGGGAAGATTTTAACTTTTTGACTTTCTCGAAAAACACATTCGGGGGGAGGGGGGGGGTATGAATATGCTGCAACAAAAAAATGTGGGGAAGGGAGAGGCAAGCTGCCTTTCAGTGAACATTTGCAACAGTAATTTCAAATATTTTTTTGTATATGTGTCAAAAATGTAACCACTGAGCAGTATTCGTAAAATTTGTAAACAATTGTTATACAAGAAGATGGGTAAAACCTTAGCGTTCCTTTCTAACCTGAATTAGTCCGGTGTAATATGGTGAGACCCCCCCCCCCCGTGAGACTTCCCCCCGGAAATCTGGCTATATATAGTAAGACTCCCCGGTGGGGGGGGATTACTATATAGTGAGCCTTCCCCCTTAAACGACCATAGTGAGGCTCCCCCCTTCCATGTTCAGTTGTATTTTATTTACATCGACGATGTATATATATTTGCATTTTGATAATGATCTTATAAAATAGATACATGTATGAATAAATATAGAAGTGCGCATAAAAATTTATCGTGCACAGTAAATCAATCGTTCCAAAATGATTCTTATCAAAAGAAATACATTTAACATTTAAGAGATCATTACTAGTGGACTCTTGAAATTTGCTTATGTTAACCTTCATGGAGAATGCAATAAACACAATGTAGTAAAGAAAGATGTATACTTGTAACAATAACGTACATTTTTCATTCAGTTATCTCACATCAATATACATGTACATGTCATCCCAAAATTATTTTTGGCTAACAAACTGTTGAAAGGCTATTAAGATGTTTTAATTATTAATTAATGGAGAACTTTTATTCATATACTGAAAAATATTGTTTTACAATGAAATAAAATATTCCGGAAACTACATTTGAGGGAAAGTCTCACTATGAAAGGGGGAGAGACAGGCTATATAGTAAGACCTCCCCTGGAGAAATCTCACTCTATTGCCAGTCGATCTTCCGGGGGGAAGTTTCACTATATAGCCAGTCTTCCCGGGGATATCTCACTATATAGCTAGCCTTCCGGGGGAAGTCTCACTATGGGAGAAGTCTCACTATACGACATCGGCCCTCAGTTGATTTCGAAAGATTTTCCACTTTTAAATATATGGTTTATCCAAAGAAATAACCCTCACATGCATTTAAATATAGGTCAGTAATAAAATATAAACGCTATAAGCTAAA